ACTCTTCAAACCTTAGAGGCCAAACCCTGTTGAATATTTTTAACTATAATCTAAAAAATAGATTAATGTCCTTGTACATCAAAGTAATGATAGTAAAACACCAAAAAGTGTCAAATAACGAATTTCGGCACCAGCATTTCCATGTGAAATATGTGAGGCGGGTGATGGAAAATTAAAAATGGATGTTATTGGCGGTATACGGTCTCATATTAGGTCAGTAATAACCATCTTGGATTTTTAATGACAGTATACGGGCTCATGTGGGGTTAGTAGTTCTCTGATTGGTCAATCTCACTTTGAGGCATAATAAGTGTTAATATACCATGTTTATCACGTACTATAATGTTCCTTATTGATGCAATAATTGAGCTATAATTTATGCAATAAAACATACTGATGCACTTTACAGATTTTGTTTCAATATGATTATACAGTGAACATACTGGGAAGCAGACTATAGTTTAATCTCCTGACAATTTATAGAGCAATACATCTTTTCAGAATTGTAACTGGCGATTGATTTGTTTGTTGTTTAACGCCGCAGTTTGAAATTCACCCCATGTCTGATCAGAAGATTGATCAAGGGAGTGTGCCCTTTCTGTGCTGCCAACATTAACGGCGTTCTACCATACTGACCCCTGGCATTGATGTCCATCTCTCGAGAAAGAAGATCTGATACGATGTCTGAATTCCCTCCAAGGCAAGCTATGTGAAGAAGGTTGTTACTTCGTTTGTCACTTACTGACAAATCAATACCAGGCGTTTGAATAAGGCGATCAAATTAATTTTTGTCCCCATCTCGAGAAGCAAGCATTATCGGGGTCCGACCAGTTTTCTTAAAATGCTCCTTTGTCTCTGTATCACTATACAGTTAATTATTATATTACAGCTTTTATTCTCCATTTTAAGCAAAGGCTCAAGGATAATTTACAGCAATTCTGGAGTGCTTCTGTAAACTCTTCTCCAAAATGTGATCTTTATAAGCATTTTAAATCCATGTTAAATGTTGAAAGATACTTGTCATGTCCACTCCCTAGCCATTTAAGAATTGTTTTTACTAAATTCAGATGTTCAAATTTTAAAATAGCTTTAGAAACTGGCAGATATAGTAAAACAGACCGTTCACTCAGATTCTGTAACTATTGTAGTAGTAAGGGAGTTAATGTCATTGATGATGAATTCCATGTACTCTTTAATTGTAATTTATATTCTGCCCTAAGACAAAAATACCTTCCCATGCCTACTCATTACAGTAATTCACATGTAATAAATATTCTTAGTAATTATAATGAGCAAACATTATTTCTAGTTTGTAAATTCTTATATTATGCTCACAAAATAATTGATGATAAATTCTGTGCCCTGTAAATGTCATGCTCACATGTCTGTATTTTGGGCCATTGGCCTTTTACTGAATAAACATGTCTGTCTGTCTGTCTGTCTATACAGTTAATGGACGACAGAAACATTTGAATGCATTTCATTCTTTTTGCAGTAGATGGGGATGGGAAGTTAATTTGTCAAAAACAAATGTAATTGTTTTCAGAAATGGAGGTATCATTTCCAAAAATGAAAAATGGACATATAGTAATATCACCTAAAAAATGTTGCTTATTTTAAATATTTAGGCTTGACGCTATTATCTAAACTATTGTTTTCCCGTTACTTATGGGATAACAAGACGTATTCTTATCCTTAAATTAGAAGGGAGAATTCCGTGAGTCAGTAATGAGTCAAAGAGATGTTCCAGTATTTATTGTGGGGTTCAATGTTTTATACATAATATATTAATCAAACAATAATCTTAAGTACACATTTCATTTTGATGGGGGAATTAGCGTTTCACATGGTAGAGTTTGTATACATAATGACACTTGTAATATTTCATTCTTTCAACACAACATCGGATAAAAATCGTTCAGGAACCATTCATACAATTACCTAAATCATATGTCAATTATACCTCAAAGGTTGTCATATAAATCCTATATAAATGATATTTGCCGTTGAACCATATGTGTGTATTGTATTGTTTCTCTATCCATATAATTAATCATACATGAGTGCAATAAATACACAACTATTCATGATAATAGATCTAATTCAGTTACATATTCAATAATGACTGATATATTATGCACGACAATATTCATGCAGAGATTATTTAGAAATACACAAAATACATAATATTTGCCATTTTCTATTCACCATAATCAAATAAATAGTAAATCACGAATCATGATATTATTTGACATAAATAAAAGAGTTTGTACAAGTGAGCTTATCTTAAGTCAGTGATCAGCCAAAGAGGTGTTCCAGTATTGACTGACTGACTGATATAGAAGATTTAACGTACGCTTTCCGACTGTAGTGTATTTCGCACACGGGCCTGGCCAGACCATTTAGTGTATTCCGAAAAGGGTGAAAGTGGTGTGTGCAATCCAAGAGGGGGCTTTTAGGGGTTGCTTAATTATATTGAATTTTTGGAATTTTTAAATTTGGAATAAATGCCGAGGTGGGTGGAGGAGGGAACTAAGGGTTCGGTGGGTGTTTGTATGTTTATTGGATTTTGGATTGGTAGATTAATTAGGTTTTAGATGCGCTTAATTAGGTCTGTTTTGATTAGGAATACGCCTAGGGCCTTGAAGTTTTCTAGTTTATTTTGAGGGTTTAGTATTTCATCTAGAGTTGATGTAAAATCACAGACCTCTTTTTATAGCCTAAAAAGTACCGGAAACACCACTGATCAACGTCGGAATTCTCTTGATTGGCCAAAACATACACTGTGTCCTTTATTTACAATTTTGGTTGGTTGAAATAGATTAGGTAATTTACTAATAGGAATTTGATTGGACAGGCCGAAATGAGTTCTTATAGGATGTGTCACGTGACCGTGACACGATGGTAATTGCGTTAATTACATCAGATTAATTATAGTTTGTTTTTACAGCTGCTGTCTGGATGTCCAATGAGTTTTTAGAGGATTTATCACGCGACCGTGACACGATGGTAATTGCGTTAATTACATCAGATTAATTATAGTTTGTTTTTACAGCCGGCCTTGCCATGATGGGTAATTAAAGTGACATTTCAATGTTACATGAAATATATGGCAAATATGTGCAAAATATATACATACAAATAAAGTATAGAAATAGTTACATGAAATATATGGCAAATACGTGCAAAATATATACATACAAATAAAGTTTAGAAATGATTACATGATATATATGGCAAATATGTGCAAAAAATAAACATACAAATTAATATAAAAAAGTGAAATATTTTATCATAAATTGTGCACTGTCACACTATCATGGTCAGTTGTGTGCAAACAGCTAACATTGCAAGCATCAAAAGCAATTATACCTATCTAAATTTTTTTCAAGCAAAATATATATGTATCCTTTTGTACAGCTTGTACTATATTTGACGGCAAAATCGCGCCAATCTTGCTTATAAGGAGCAGAAATATGGGGCGCAAAATATAATGACGCTATTGAAAAAGTACATGCTTCCTACTTTAAGCGCTTTTTAATGGATGGAAAATATGCTTGAAACAAAGCAACAGGACGTTATCCCATTCATGTATTAAGTCAACTTCGAATGACAAAATATTGGTTAAAATTACTGAGGATGGAGCCGCAAAGATATCCTTACTAGTGTTATTTCAGTTACAACTGAAAACTCTCGATGACAAAGGCAAAACGAATTGGGTGTCCAATGTCTGATATTTATTATTTTCATGTGGCTATTCATTTATGTGGATATCCCAAGATGTGGGGGATACAAATGTGTTCTTATACTCTTTTAAACAAATGTTACAGGATATATATAGTCAAAATTGGCATGATAGTATATCTTCTCGTTTCCTTAGCCATTACAAGGATATCAAGTCTGCTATAGAACCAGAGAAGTAAAAAAGTATATTAGATGATAAATCGCCTATTGGAGCGGTATGGAAATTCAGAGTGTCATAACACAGTTTCAGTGTAAAGTTTAGACGTAGATGTGAAAAAAGGGACGTTGAAATGGGTTTTCTGTAAAAAAACTGCCAATTAGGAGAAATTGAGGATGAATTTCATGTTTTAGTATGTGATAAGTATGAACATCTTAGAGAAACGTATATTCCATGTTTAACCTAAAAACAAGATGTTAATGATCAGCCTATAAAATCCCAAAACTCTGCTGTTACACGTTCATTAGCCATGTTGTTGAAACAAATATTCTCTGTCAGATAGTTTTTATATATCATTTATATCACGTGACTAAAGCAATGAAACTGAAAATGTCAGCTGTACCATGGGCAATGTGGCCTTAAATACCGAATAAAAAATCTATCTATCTATCTATCTATCTATCTATCTATCTATCTATCTATCTATCTATCACAACCATTACAACGTCTCACATACTCTTCCTCGACATAGCAGATTTATGTAAAACTCACACATTTTAACTAACGTTTTCTGTGACGTTGCTTGCAAATAGCTTCGATGTTCCTGTGTATTCGGATAAACACATATCCCATTAAAAATCAATGTGAGATCATTATAGCCATCTTGGTGTTCGTCAAAATACATTGTGCCACCTTGATCAACACTGTAATTATTATTCGGGGGCACGGCTGGCGTCTAAGGCGCCGCGATTCGATGTGCAGAGTTGCGTCCCCTGGGCACGCCAGAAACCTATGATTGCGGGTTCGAATTCGAATCCTGGTTTGCCCTGATTATGTTTCTAAGTTTGTCAGCATCATACCCGTGCTCATGAGTTTCACCTAAATTGTAAACGTCTGAGACCTGCATCATTTGGGACATTCCTCCCACATTAAGCTGACACGCCGTGATATAACTGGAATACTGTTAAAAGCGGTGTTAAACGCAACTTACCCACTCTGTTACCCCCCCCCCCCCACCCCCCACCCCCCCCACCCCCCCCACCCACCCCCCCCACCCCCCACCCCCCACCCCACCCCACCCCACCCCCACATACCTTCTGTTGTCTAATGGGGCTGTCGGGAAGCCTATTGGTTAAAGCGTTCGCTCGTCGTGGGTTCGATTCCCGACATGGGTACAATGTGTTAATCCCATTTCTGGTGTCCCCTACCGTGACATTGCTGGAATACTGTGAAAAGCGGCGTTAAACACAACTCACTCACTATTTATTATTCACACATTGCGTCCACGTGGAGAACTGAACCATGGTCCATGTCCTTGAGTATGACAAGCTAAAGCTTTAGCCATTGAATATCTTACCACTCCTACCATTCAAAAGTCAACTGCTGTAGTCTGGAAGTTATATATGCTACAATTCTTTCATTTCCACCTTGTAACGCATAAGAACGACAGTTTCGGCCGTCTGTGTCCAAACTGTTCAGATCACAGTTTTTCTCAACTAAGTAACGCACTATATCTTCATAACTTTTCTCAGCTGCAATCATGACAGGGGTCATTCCATTCTTTCCTTTTTCATTGACATCAAAACCTTCTTTTTCCACGAGGTACTTCATAACATTCAGTTCTGCACCAAGGCACGCCATGTGGATTGCACTGTTTCCGTCTCTGTCAACAAGTTTGGAATTCACCCCATGTCTGATCAGAAGATTGACCAAGGGAGTGTGCCCTTTCTGTGCTGCCAACATTAACGGCGTTCTACCATACTGACCCCTGGCATTGATGTCCATCTCTCGAGAAAGAAGATCTGATACGATGTCTGAGTTCCCTCCAAGGCAAGCTATGTGAAGAAGGTTGTTACTTTGTTTGTCACTTACTGACAAATCAATACCAGGCGTTTGAATAAGGCGATCAAATTCATTTTTGTCCCCAACTCGTGCAGCAAGCATTATCGGGGTACGACCAGTTTTCTTAAATTTCTCCTTTGCTTCTGTATCATGTTGTTTGCTGTCGATGCCGTATGTTGTAATCTGTGCACCTGCATCAGGCACTGTGTCTACATTTTTTTGTAGTGCGTCGACAACTATGGTAAGATCAGCAAGTTTTAAGTGGAGTTCCTCCACTTCTTGTTTCATCGTTGCAACAGTGGAACTAGCTTCAGAAGCCTCACGTTTAGCCTCCTTTATTGTATCGGTCACTCTGTTAAGTTCAGTAAATTTTGAGCGGAGATGATCCATTTCATCCACTACTTGCCTTGATGTACTTGCCACTTCTTGTTTCATCGTAGCAACAGTAGAACTAGCTGCGTCAGCCTCATGTTTAGCCTCCTTTAGTGTATCGGCCACTGTGTTAAGTTCAGTAAATTTTGAGCGGAGATGATCCATTTCATCCACTACTTGCCTTGATGTACTTGCCACTTCTTGTTTCATCGTAGCAACAGTAGAACTAGCTGCGTCAGCCTCATGTTTAGCCTCCTTTAGTGTATCGGCCACTGTGTTAAGTTCAGCAAATTTTGAGCGGAGATGATCCATTTCATCCACTACTTGCCTTGATGTACTTGCCACTTCTTGTTTCATCGTAGCAACAGTAGAACTAGCTGCGTCAGCCTCATGTTTAGCCTCCTTTAGTGTATCGGCCACTGTGTTAAGTTCAGCAAATTTTGAGCGGAGATGATCCATTTCATCCACTACTTGCCTTGATGTACTTGCCACTTCTTGTTTCATCGTAGCAACAGTAGAACTAGCTGCGTCAGCCTCATGTTTAGCCTCCTTTAATGTATCGGCCACTGTGTTAAGTTCAGCAAATTTTGAGCGGAGATGATCCATTTCATCCACTACTTGCCTTGATGTACTTGCCACTTCTTGTTTCATCGTAGCAACAGTAGAACTAGCTGCGTCAGCCTCATGTTTAGCCTCCTTTAATGTATCGGCCACTGTGTTAAGTTCAGCAAATTTTGAGCGGAGATGATCCATTTCATCCACGACGTAGCTGTTACTTGCCACTGCATCTTTTAACGTGGCAATAGCAGAACTAGCTTCAGAAGCCTCGCGTTTAGCATCTTTCAATAAACTGTGTATTTCTTTAGGCGTCACCGCTTTTATTATTTCCAGAATCTCATCTTGTTTGGCATTCATTTGAATGAATTCCCTTGAGGGATTGGTGTCTTCCGCTGTTTTATTCACTCCCTGTCTTCTTGATGTTCTTACATTGTCTTCCTTGGTCTCTGGCGTCACATTACGTGGTTGGGCATCACAGTCTTCATCTGTAGCAGACTCAGTAGAGTCTCGTGTAGCACCACTACGTGTTCTGTCTAGACAAGACAAATCTGGGTTTCCTTTAATGATAACATTCCTCATTTGTGTATTCGAAAATGAGGAGTCTGTGGCAGACGTGTGGTCCTGCTGTACCGTATTATTTGTTATGACGGTTCTGTTGGTTATGTCCTGTTGCTTCTCGGAAGCATCATCTAAGTCTGTTTCAGACAAACGCCCATTCGCAGACAATGGATTCTGGATTGCTTGTTGAACGTTTTCACTGATATTACCTGGACCTGTCACGACATTGTCACGAATGGTCGGTTCATAGTTGATATCACGTCCAGCTGTAAATGCTTTGCCGACACTTCCACCGGAGACTCCAGTAACGACAACCCTGGGTTGGACATCCTCGTTTCTTGTCGAATTTTGGAAGGCACTTGCAAATACTTCATCGGCAGTTCCACCTGAAACGCCAGTAACGTCAATTCTGTATAGGGTATCCTTGTTCTTTCTTGCTGAATTTTGAAAGTCACTTGAGTCATCACTTTTTGTATGATTACTAACAACCGCTTGTCTCACGTTATCAATGTCATGGCTTTTTTCAGTAATCTCGTCCTTTTCCTTGCCCTCAGCTCCTGCAGTAGATTCCTCCCCCAGTTCGACACTATGATGAGTAGAACGAGGTTCAGTAGCCACTAAGGGTATGACAGACCAAAGTCCCGGTAGACAGATGCAGATATTATACCATCCAAACCATGCGCGCACTGGTAACACCCAAAGCAAAACTTCAACGAGAAGCATAGCAATTCTCCCATCTGAAAAACAGATAACATTGCACTATTTTAACATGCAACTTGAGTTATCTTTTGAAAATAAAAATGATTATATCTGTAATAAAAATAATAATTAAATCTGCAGAAGTTCGAATTGTCGAATCTAGCCAAGTCACATCACAACACACCGCAATATGAATTGTATCATAACATGTATTGACCAAAATACAGCAAATATGCAATTCCTTATTTGGACTTGTACTTAATGTACCCATGTTTTTAAAGGTTGACAATTTCCTTTCCTTTCATGTGTTTGAGGCGGTTGGCACTGGTGGGACAGGAAAGGATAGGTTCGCAAAAACATGGTATCACTATTTGATAGTGATTCATAAACACATTCGGGGGCACGGGTGGCCCAGTCGTTTGAGGCCCCACGATTCGCTGTGCAGAGTTGCGTCCCTTGGCCACGCCAGAAACCTATGATTGTGAGTTCGAATCCCGGTTCTCCCGATTATGTTTCTAGGTTTGTCAGCACCATACCCATGCTCGTGGGTTTCACCGAAGTGGTAAACGTCTGAGACCTGCATCACTTCGGGCTTTCCTCCCACATTAAGCTCACATGCCGTGATATAACTGGAATACTGTTAAAAGCGGCATTAAACCCAACTCACTCACTCACTCACCATAAACACATTCTTGTGAAGCAGTCGTAAAATTAAATCAGAAAATTATTGAAAGGGTTTTCAACTTTCATATACCTTGCGTTGAAGAATTAGCAATAGCCCAGATAGCTATAGCATGGTATTTCATCATCTCAATGGGAAACATATAGATGAAAGGCGTCACAAAACATACAGTCCGTGCTGTATCCCAAAGTCTTGACGACCTTGGATTCTGTGATGGAGTGAACAGGTTTATGTAGTGCAGGACCATTATAGCTGGAAAAAAACAACCAAAGTATAATTATCTTTTTGTTGAATCTTGAGCAATTTAGTATGTATTCTAGTACTGTTTACAATGGGTGTGACCTGTGAAGATTCCGGGGGTAGAATAGGTCTTCAGCAACCTGTGCTTGTAACAGGCGACTATGCTTGTCGTAGGGAGCGACTAACGGGATCGGGTGGTAAGACTTGCTGACTTGGTTGATGCATGTCATCGATCCCAATTGCGTGGATCGGTGCTCATGATATTAATCACTGGATTGTCTAGTCCAGACTGGCTCATTTACAGACCGCCGTCATATAGCTGGAATATTGCAACAACAGGTGTAACACAACAGAAGGGAGGAATTGTTGTTGTTGCTGTTGAGTGTGTTCTCTATCCATCGTGTTGTGACAGCATCATCCCTTTGCTGTCAACACCTATCAGTGTTATCCCACTCATGTATGCAATTGTTGTTCCTGTTAATCCTCCCACTGTTAATCCTCCACCTACTATATATATTCTGTACTATGTCCCTCATTCAATACCTAGCCGCAGTATTTCTGGACTTCAGCAAAGCCTTCGACATGGTATGGCATGACGGACTCCTCTCAAAACTATCACAAAATGGAGTTGAAGGGAACATGGCAAACTTCATAGACAGCTTCCTGCAAGACAGGTCGCTATCAGTTAAAATAGGGAACAATCGATCGGATCCTATGGCACTGGACAATGGCACGCCACAAGGCAGCATTATAAGCCCAACCCTGTTTAATATCATGATCAATGATCTTTTTGACCATGTCAACTCTCCTACCCAAACGTCTAAGTTCGCTGATGACGGAGCAATATGGGTAAAGCACAGAGATATCTCACAAATCAGAAAAAAACTCCAGTCAGCCCTGGACGGAGTAGATCAATGGTGCAATAAATGGGGATTCACCCTTTCAAGTGAAAAAACTGTTGGAGTTCTATTCAAACGCCGGGGGAAAGATGCTATGATACCCCGTGTCTGCATAAAAGGCAAACCAATCAAATTCGAAAAATCTGCAATATTTCTTGGGGTTATCCTTGATCAGCACCTCACTTGGCGCAAGCATATAGAATATGTGGAAAACAGATGTCAAAAAGACCTGAACGTATTACGGGCAATTTCAGGCACATCTTGGGGCACATCGAGGGACACTCAGCTGGACCTCTACAAAGCTCTTATCAGATCAAAAATTGACTATGGTTGTGAGGCTTTTCACTCAGCATCAAATACTGTCTTGAGGCGACTAGACAGAATACAATACAAAGCCCTAATGCTGGCCACAGGCGCAGCGACAGGCACCTCACTAGAAGCACTACAAGTAGAAACGGGAGAACTCCCATTGAAACTAAGAAGAGAGCAGGCAATATTATCGTTCTGGGGACGAACATCAAACCCTTTGGTTAAAAAGATATGGCAAGACAAAAACACTCGAGATGAAGCCCTAGCTCGAAAAAATCCCTCACTAAAGCCATCTGGGATATGAGTACATGAACTCATTCGAAGTCACAATTGCGATGACATTCAGCCTCCAGAAAATCACTACAAAGGGTTACACTCTCCCTGGACTTTACAAACTCCCAAAGTTGACACTGCTTTAACATCAGAAGTCGCTAAAAAAGAAAACCCAACCCTACTACGATCAGTAGCTATCACTAAAATTCAAACTACCTGGGACAGCTGGGCCCATATATACACTGATGGATCCAAGAATCCTATCAACAACAGTGCTGGTTACGGGATCCATATCCACAGCTCCAAACCCCAAGCTCATTCAGTTCGCTTGCCTGATGGTCAGTCAGTATTCACGGCTGAATTGGAGGCAATTCATCATGCACTCAAACTCATACCGGAACTCCTGGAAGCAAAGGCAGTCGTCCTATCAGACTCGCTAAGTGCACTTCAGGCCATCAGTGGGAGAAACTCAAACTCCAGGCCAAACACAGTCAACAATATTCTATACGAATATACAAAACTATCGGACCAAGGGCAACAGGTGGAGCTGTGTTGGATCCCCTCTCACATAGATATTCATGGAAATGAAAAAGCAGACTCACTGGCGAAGCTAGCTCTAGACAAAGCGGATATACAGCCTATTCCCTTTAGTAAACTAGAGATAAAAAGCAAAATCAAAGCCTCCATAGCAAAAAGATGGCAAGCCCAATGGGACGTAAGTAAGATCGGCAGATGGCTATACAAAATTCAACCCAAGGTCCAACAAAAGCAAAACTCATACTCAAATGAAAGGAAAATTGAAATTGCTATCTTACGCCTCACGCCTTGCTGAGGACCTATTCTACCACGGATCTTCACGGGTCTTTTATTTAGTGTACTGCTTAGTGTACTATCTAAGTACCATGTGGGGAACTGGCCTACAAGTTTATCAAAATGTTAAAATAATTGGTCTTAGTCTTGGCCAAATAATGTTTTACTTAAATTCCAAATGCATAGTTTCAAATTCGAGTCGTATGCCCAAAAGGTGGTAGTTCATAGGACAATCTGTTGGATTCTATTCTGCTGCTGGAGTATTACATTACTGTATCCCTATGGTGTTAGTGTGCTGGAATACTGCTTACATATGACATCGCCCTTGTTGGCACTCCATGATGGGCAAGGAACAGGTTTGCTGAACCACATTAAATACAACCATGGGGGAAGAAAATACCAAAACCCAAACGGCAACTATCAGAATCTGATTCTGAACTTGATTTATCTGTAGAGGAAACGGTCACGAGGTTCTTGTCATGGAAGCTAAAGGTGATCGAACTATAGCGTCACTTTCATTTCTTTTAGAAAAGGGACTTAAAGGTAAAGCTGGTGAGTTGAAGGATGTCCAAGAATTGCGTTCTGGTGCTCATTTCATAGGATGTACTAGAAAACACAAGCCATCAATTTGATGATTTTAACTAAAATTAGCTAATATCCTCGTATTCTGTGTTGCACATCATACCCTATGTTTCAGCAAAGGCTTAATTCGTGACCTTGATTGCAGTCTAGCTGATGAAACAATTGACGGAATTGTATCAGAACTTCGAGGGCAAGGTGTGATTGAATTCAAACGACATATTGTACATATATTGCAAAGATGGCCGTGTATTTCAATTCAACACACATATTCTGGCTAAAGTACTACCAAGTTCACTTAAAGTGTTTTTTTTCTCCACATCCCATTACCTACTCGCTGTTTCAAGTGCCAGAAATTTAGGCATGGACAGAATTCATGTACGTGCAAGGATACTTGCTTCAGATGTGGTGAAATTGATCACGATGGAAATACCTATACTAAACCTATGAAATGCTCCAACTGTCTTGTTGATCATATACTCAGCCTCTAAAGAGACTCAAGTCAAGTTTTTTGTTTGTGAAATGAACAAAATAGTATTTTGTAAAGCGACGCATTGAAGAAACACTGTTCACTATTTATATCATTCATTTTGAGCAGGGGCGGTCGGGTAGCCTAGTGGTTAAAGCTTTCGCTCATCACGCTGAAGACCGGTGTTTGATTCCTGACATGGGTACAATGTGTGAAGCTCATTTCTGGTGTCCCCCTCCGTGATATTACTGGAATATTTCTAAAATCGATGTAAAACCAAACTCTTGCATGTTTAGTGCAAATCAAGTGCAAAAATGCACGCATTTTCTCCCTTGTCCATCCTTTGTCCACCATATAAAAATCCATCAAGCATTTCAAATTCGATTTTGAAAAAGGAGAGAAAGCATGGCTTGATTAACTGAACTCCAGAGAGGCGTTGCCATTGAGATGCTACATTCAGGAACAACGTAAAATGCAGATGTCATATGTCTAGCATCAACAAACAGGTAGTGTCCAAGACCAACCTCATTCTGGACAGTCTGGGTGACACATCTGCGACAGACAGGGACGTGCAACACAGGCAGCTGCAACCATTCAAGGTCCACGTCAACACATGTCAGCCAACACCGTTCGTCGTCTAAGAGCAGCAGGAATTAGAGGTCGTCCATCAGTCCATTTTCTCATTCGCTGCCCTGTCTTCAGCCAATTTGACGTGTTCTCGGCTCATCCAGTTCATCTTGGATATATTGGAACTATCCAATGGTCATGCCCGGACCAATATTGACGTTGTCTTTTGTTGTTTGCCCAGGCATGTGGGTATAAATTGTCTGATGCTGCAGCGAAAGCCGCACTCAACATATCGGTGACACTACTTCTTATACGATACAGTGACCATATGTTTCAAGTGAAAGGTCATCCGTTTTCAATATCTTGTATGGCCACCATTAGAGTCCAAAATTATGGCCTAGGGAATGGTCACCCGCTCTTCCTGCCTGCAATGCTTGTGCCAACTGTTCTGTGGTTGTTGCTGACATGGTCTCAGTCGTTGATCCAGTGCGCTGATCAAGAGCGTCCCATGCCCCATAGGTCATGGTAGGACCTGGATGTTGTTATTCCTGAAAAAAGGCTGTTCGGGTTGGGCGTTTTCTTGTTGGAAAATGAATCGCTTCTTGCAAAATGGGACGAACGTCTGCCCGAAGAATCTCAACCGTGTAACGTTGTGCCGTTAAATTCCCTAGAAATTGCACCTGTTCTACCAGTGTAGGAGATGACTGCCCACAACACACTGCCACCACGGTGTCTGGGCCGATATCCTACGCAATCCTTATATTGACCGTGGTGGTTCTTCACGTAAATGTTTGTTTTTGTAACTTGTTTGTTTGTTGTTTAACGCCGCACTATGTATGACAGCGGTCTGTAAATAATCGAGTCTGGTAACAGTTCCACAGTCTTGTAATGATGTTTAATGGTACCTGGGTACGGCCGTATGATTCGCCTCTATGCAATCGGCCGGTGGCGTTGTTGCGTTGTTGCGTTGTTGCGTCTGGCTTCCGTCAGTCGTGGCATATTTTCGCTGTTTACTTGCTGTAAGACTGTCATGGCATGCAAATGAAACCCAACGTTTTCATAGCCCAACAAGTGATGTTGCACGTGCATGTCATATTGTTGTGTTTCGGCGCCAGGCGCTCACGTGTGTTTTTGTGATTTGTCTGCAATACCTCATTTTTTCCATACCAATCCATGCAGGAATGTCAGATATTTACTATTTTACAACTTTTGCTTGTCTTATTTCCAGAGTATAATAATAACAACAATAATATATTTTGTGCAAAAGTTTGATGAATTGATTCATGGAATAGAATTGAATAGAAATAGAATTGATTTAACAGTTTTGATGTACGTAGTTATTTATTTTTAAATTGGTAGCGTATAAATTATTAACTCAGTTTTTTTGTGGCTGTGCCCTAGACCGGGGTTGACGTGATATAAAATTGTTGCCCCCCTGAGATTGTATCGTAAGATCATGTCATTCAAAGAATTCTTGTAACTACAACTAAGTTTAATCGTAGTACAGGTGTTCATTTTATTTTTATTACACTGCATACCAGCAGCTGGAGGGATGGTGTAAATCTAGGGGATCCATGCAGGTAGCACACGTACCGTAAGTCCCTATGGTCCCTAGTACAGTCCAGTGGCCTAGTGTCAGATTTAGCCTACTACACAGTCCACTGGCTCTAATTAAGGGGGCCATCAACGTAAAGAAAAGGGAAACAGTTATTTTTTGTCAAGTGTAGTTGGCCACGAAAGATACCTTATCATAACGCGTCCTTTCAAAAGTATTCGCATTGATTGCTTACGTACCGACAGGGATGATCATCAAGTCCCGGAACTCTCCCATGTTGAGGTACGTCACGGAAATATCCATTGGACAATTTACATCAGTCCAAAACATGATGCTAGACCTGAAAACAAAGAAAGAATAATGTACTCTCAATTAATGTTGAACGCGACTTCAAAACCCAAATAACCTCGCCTCAGTTAACGTATCCGGACTTGTGCGAGTATCCAAAATTATTTTGCTATGCATGAAGGGATTGGTATTTTGATTAATATATATCTCACCTAATTTGGTTCATGGTAAGGACAATCTCGATACGTAAAACGGACACAACATAAATGCTTTGAAATAATGAAAACAATGTCTGGAATAGATTAACAATTAGATAGTGTTTCCGTGTATCGAAATTGAACGAGACATGCGCCTATTTGGAATCAATTTTGCGTAATCAAATCCCCCAAAGAATACTTCAAAACAAATAAAAATATTGGACATGTATTGGTTGGCTATTATGTGGTTATTTCTCCTCATCTCGTCCTAGAATGATAGAATAAAAGGGGGCAGGGTGGCCCAGTCGTTTAAGGCGCCGCAATTCGCTGTGCAGAGTTGCGTCCCTTGGGAACGCCAGAAACCTATGATTGTGGATTCGAATCCCGGTTCGCCCCGATTATGTTTCTAGGTTTGTCAGCACCATACCCGTGCTCGTTGGTTCCCACTTTAAGCTGACACGCCGTGATATAACTGGAATACTGTTAAAAGTGGCGTTAAACCCAACTCACTCACTCACATAGAATAAAAGGTGCGAAGAAAGCTCCGTGGCTTGGAATTATCAGGATAATCGTATAAGGTTCCACCAACAGGGTACATGGCACGGTTTATATTTATTCATATGTTTTACAATTCCTTGGAAAAATTTAATAAAAAGAGAAAGGGAAACCCATTGATAAAAGGAATACAAAACGAGAAAACGTAAATCGTTTGTGACTAACGTGCACCTGGCGAATCCTTAGACATTGCTGCTCTGTCTATCGAACGACATGAAAAACAATTCCAAGACCAAGACAATTCTTCGAAAAATGTGTGCATATATATTTAACAAAAAGTAGTATCCATTTTGTTAAAGTCATATATTTAGTTTTAGTTCAAAATAAAGCGAAACGGCTATTCATTAATCTGTTTATATGAATAATTATTACAATATTGACCATCACGCTCAAAAGGAAATACGTACATGCTGCAGTACAATTTACATTTCATCTTTTACACTTGTCTAAAGGAAATAAATAGAGGTTATCACGCGAGTGTGTTTGGGGATGGTAAATACCCTGCATTAGCAAAAAACATTGTATTTAGCGAGCCTTGGCGAGCTAAATACATAGTGTTTATTCCTAATACAGGATATTTACCATCCCCAAATACACAAGCGTGATAACCTCTTTATCATTTAAATGTCATTCTTTAATTCTGTGCTTCAAAATCGCTTTCCCTCTCTCATAAACAATACCGAAACATTGCGAGTTTTCCTGGAATGCGCGCATTAATATTTATTACGTCACAGGGTAAGTGATGTGTCAGTCGGACAGTGACAGTAGCCAATATAGTTCCAACTGAAATCTGTTTCTTATACAGTGACGAAGCAACATATACGCAAAACAACAATTGTATTTAATTGCCTTTCGCGGCAATCCATCGGTCTGTCCGCTAGAGTAACTGCCCTTTGTCAAAGGGAAGCTACTCTAAACCTAGTCTACGAGACGCCACGGTCAGACGTTGTTGACAGTCGGTCTGTCCTGTCATAACGTTAAGAAGTGTAGTCAGATGTACACAAAACGAAACAAGGTAACAATTCGAACATATTTCGGCCAAATCCAACTATTATAATTTGTGGAGAAGGTTTCAAGCCGCATAGGTCTACAAGCACAGATATATGGCTACACTCTCCTACCCAGAGTTCCATGCGGCCGGCAGCCAGCTAGCATAGACCCTCTGCCACAGGCCAGCGCCATGTGACGATTCTTTCACAGTCTTTCACATCTTTCCCAGTCCATTCAAGATATTGCATATGCTTTTCATCCGTTTCATGTTTGACAAGTCTACACATTTTCATAAACAAATGTCAAAGAATGGTTAACTTTCTTTGAGAAAGTATGCAAATACGTAAAAATTTACTTGTTTTTGCGTAGTTATCCTATGTTTACATTGGTTGTACGGCTCCACGTGCTGTCATCGAAGCCCAACGGAGAGCTAGCGATACGGTCACTTTGGTGTATAAATATATATTGTCATGCAACTCACTGTCGCAGTTGTAGTAGCATATCTATATAGTTATGCAAAACAATATTTAAAGCGCCCCCAAATACTTGCATTAGTCCGTTCTATACTGATTTCTGAAAAAGCGCGTTTGTTTACAAACAAGAGAAAAGTCCGGTCACGTGATATGCAAATTAGCCTGTGGCAGTGGTGTTATGCTGAGTCACCACTGCGACGGAGTGTGATATGGCTACTGATCCCGCTTGGCTAGGCCTCGTGCCCTCGCAAAATTGTTTCTCCAAAGTTGCCAAAACTTTTAAAATGCCTTCGCGACGTCACAGTTAGACACTGATTTTCAGTATATTAGACCGTTCTTTTGATAATGATAGCAATTATCTCTGTAGTTTATCCAGATTACCGATGGTTAGTTCTGACTCGATCGCCGAATGACGAGGGCGACGCCATGTTTGTTTATAAACAGTGAAAGTAGTCCCTACTTGACCTTTGATATTTGCATCTCTATCCGCATATGACCCCAACGGATATCGTTTTTATCCGTTGGCTTTAGCCTGCCGAGAAACCTACGCATTATATCATAAATATCGCATACCACACTATATAAAACGTATCCATTTCTTATGTTAATGTTCAAACAAACGGGAGATTATCAAAGGATAATAAATATGTGGCATATATTTACGTATTATATCATTTTGAACATTGATAAGTATCAATAGTGAAATTATTTGTGCGAAAATACATATTGATCCAGTACAGATACATGAAGGAGAATAAATATACGTGCCTACTCACCACACAGCTTAGCTTTAGCTTTACTGTTGTCGTCTTAAACGTGTTAATGCTTTTATACAACATTGTCATGTGAGTTGTGACCCGACCCTGAGATACGACATGTTTGGATATCAACAGCGACAGCTAGTTTCACTGTCTCGCTGTGTATTCAACTGTTACGTTATTTTTTTCACAGTGAGTAGGAAAATATTTGTTTACGTCTGTATAGCTCAACGGTTTCGCGGGAGCTTGTAGTTCGAGGAAAGGGTGTATCGCTGACCTAGATTTGCACGTCATATATATATATATAAAGAAGTGAGGTGAGATCAATTGAATTTTATTTCACTTATATAACGACGTACGCACAGCGTGTGTGTAGCCGCTTGTACAAGTCCGGACTGATGCCGATTTATAGTGCTAGCCCACTGAGATACCATGCCGCAGTTTAACATGAATACCCCACTCAGACACAGTATACTGACTCCGAGCCGACAGGCCTTGTTTTAGCCCCTTAATGCCGAGCGCCAGGCAGGTTAACAACAAGTATAATCTTTTAGCGATTTTTGGCATGAAGTGGACAGGTCATTTATAAGCATTTTTGACCTAATATCGTTTAGATATATACAATCATGGTTATCTTCGAGTGGAAATTTCACAACTTTCACTCTTCAAATACAATTTCGTATCTATTACCGCAGGTAGGGTTCAGAGCATACATCCTCTTCTTCATGTTTCAATTCAACAGTTCTCTTTTTGTATATATCTCGAATAATGAATCTAATTTAATTAATTTAATTATGTATTTACTTTCTACTTTCGCACTGATGTGTGTCGGGCACTTTCGGGCGCTGAAATTACTTCATACGGGCCTGGGTAAACAAGTGTGAGGTTTACTACCGAGGCTAAAAAGAACATTAGAGATATACACATAGGTACACAGTATACACCATATACAACGTCGTATGCATGATCAATCAACATTGATATCTCATACTGATGTCATTCATTATAAAAACATTCATTAGCTAGGAAGAGACCGCCTCCGTGGTCTAGTGGTAGAGCGTCCGCCCGGAGAGCGGAAGGTCCGGGGTATGATCCCCGGCCGCGTCATACCAAAAGATGGTACTTGTTGTTACCCTGTCTGGCGCTCGGCATTAAGGGGTTAAAACAAGGACTGGTCGGCTCGGCATCAGTCCGGACTAGTACACGCAGCCACACACACACGTGCATGCACATCGCTATATAAGTGCAATAATCTTGAACGCGACGTTAAACCCCATTCCACCTCACTTCACCTTTCTTTCTCTCTGGACAATTTTTCATAATACTCCTTTTGAGAAGTACCTGTATTCATAAAGCTGTATTGCTTTCCGAGTGCTTATGTATCCTGTGTATATGACTGAATAACAATTTTAAAAAAGATAATTATTTTTTTTCATAATACGTACTCACTGTCGATTATAAGTATCAAATTAATTTCTGGTATACGGTAAACTACACCACAACAAGCATGAGCTGATCTTCACGGGGATTTTGAAAACGGTGACCGGCTGAGATAACCAGCGAGCCTTTGTAGGTGATGTAATCCTGTTGTGCCATTTGAAATTTTAGGGGGGCACGGGTGGCCCAGTCGTCTAAACCGCCGCGATTCGCTGTGCAGAGTTGCGTCCCTTGGGCACGCCAGAAGCCTATGATTGTGGGTTCGAAGCCCGGTTCACCCCGATTATGTTTCTAAGTTTGTCAGTACCATACCCGTGCTCGTGGGTTTCACCGAAGTGGTAAATGTCTGAGACCTGCATCACTTCGGGCTTTCATCCCACATTAAGCTGACACGCCGTGATATAACTGGACTATGTTAAAAGCGGCGTTAAACCCAACTCACTCATTTGAAATTTTAGAAATTGACTGTATGCCTGCTCAAACTATGCCTTTACCAGCAAACAAACCAAAGTAAGATATTCTAATCTCTTGCAATAATATCAGAACATGTGTTACAGTATGAGAACCCATAATTGTTAGTTTATTCATATTTTTTATGTGGAAGTATTGTTTCCAATAACTTAAACCTGAACGGAGTCCCACTTTGTGACAATATTCAAATATGCTCTGCAGGTAAGCCTCTTTGTTTTCGGTGACAGTACTATCACATCCTGATATTTTAAACTCTTGTCCTCTGTGACATCCCTGTGCTGTTTCTGATCAAGGATTCACATAAAACGAATAATTTGATCCGTGGTTTTAGTAATCAAATAAGGTAAATTCTTCGCTCGGTCAGATACCATAGAAAGTCCACTTGTTTCGTAAAAATGGTATCTGATGAGAGTGAGTATGGTTTTACGTCGCTTTTAGCAATATTCCAGCAATATCACGGCGGGGGACACCAAAAATTTGCTTCACACATTGTACCCATGTAGGGAATCGAACCCGGATCTTCGGCGTGACGAGCGAACGCTTTAACCACTAGGCTACCCGACCGCCCCCACCAACGGAGGTATGCTTTAAATATTAGTTTCCTTAGCCGCATATTTTGATAATCGTAATTGGTTCTAGTCTAGTTAATAAATTTAACAAAGGTATAACTGATCCTATGGTGATATATTTAGACTGCTTGAGTGGGTGAGTGAGCAGGATTTTACGCCGTTTTAAATAGTATTCCAGTTGTATCACGGCGCGTCAGATAAATGTGGGAGGAAATCCCGAAGTGATGCAGGTTTCAGACGTTTACCTCTTCACACATTGTACCCAATTTAATAAAGGATATAACGTAACCGTAAAACGTGATAATTCGCTCATTTAATTATGCTCATGCCTTTTTGGTGTCTTTACAGGCATATAAACTATCATTGATGAAAAGTTTAAGTAACTCGTCATATCATGTACCTATAATAACAGGTCCGTGGTACGGTGGCCCATAAGGGACATGGAGTCTGTTTTTCCATATTTTGATGTTTCACTTACTTTTATCGCAACCTTTAGCAAATTAACACAATTTGTCATACAAATATGTAGTAATCATGTATAAAAACAACCGAAAACATGGAAAATGTACTTTCAAGTAGCTATTGAGTCGCTGAAATGTGAAGCGAAAATGTCAAAAACTAAAATGGAAATGTCAAAAACCAAAACGAAAATGTCAAAAATCAAAACGAAAACGTCAAATACTAAAATGAAACCACAGAAAACTATTTCCACCGCGGTGTAAATATTATCACCGCGGTGTAAATAGTTTTCACCGCGGTGGAAATAGTTTTCTGTATTTTCATTTTAGTTTTTGACATTTTCGCTTTTGTTTTTGACATTTTCATTTTAGTTTTTGACATTTTCGTTTTTGGTTTTTGACATTTTCATTTTGGTTTTTGACATTTTCGTTTCACTTTTCTGCGATTCAATATCTTCTTTACACATGATTTATCACATATTTGGAAGACAAATCGTGTTAATTTGCAAAAGGTAACGACAAAAGTAAGTAAAATATCAAAATATGGAAAAACAGACACCATGTCCCTTATGGGCCTCCGTACCGTGGTTATATTTGTCCACAGCGAAGAATGTTACTCATGTCGACCAAAACAGCGTTGTATTACTGCATGGTAGTTGTTGGACCTGCTTCTTTTCACCGTGACATAATCACGTATAGAATATCTCGGCAAGCCCCATCACATTCCGTCTGACCCGTGAAGATCCGGGATAGACTAGGTCTTCACCGACCCATGCTTGCCGTAAAAGGTGACTATGCTTGTCGTAAAAGGCGACTATGCTTGTCGTAAGAGGCGACTGACGGGATCGGGTGGTCAGGCTCGCTGACTTGGTTGATGCATGTCATCGTATCCCAGTTGAGTTGATCGATGCGCATGTTAATCGGTAACGGTAACTGAAGTTAACAGACCCGTGAAGATCCGGGATAGAATAGGTCTTCAGCAACTCATGCTTGTCGTAAAGCAAGTGCTTGTCGTTAGAGGCGACTAAAATGATCGGGTGGTCAGGCTCGCTGCACGTCATCGCATTTCAGTTGCATGGATCGATGCGCATGTCAATCACTGGATTGTCGATTATGTTTACAGACAACCGTCATATAGTTGGAATAGTGCGGCTTTAAACAACAAACAAAACGTGGTGATAAAAAGACGGAGTTGGTGTTTGTTCACACACACTTCATTCTTTGTTTTAATTTAAGTTCGTTTCAGTGACATGACCAAGTTATGGTGGGTAGTTCACTTAAATGCTGTCATTCATTGTTTTTACGCGTTGCGTATGCGTTTAGGCTGGTGTACACTTTGGACTGTAAGTGAGTGAGTGAGTTTGGTTTTGCGCCGCTTTTAGTAATATTCGAGCAATATCAAGGCGGGGGACACCAGAAAAGGGCCTTTGGACCGTGAATATGTTTAATATGTATTGTTGACATCTAAATGATGGGATGTGCCGCATTTTAACATATGTTTCACTCTCACACATTTTATGCTCACACTCCTTGTATGGTGGCGAGGAGGCCTAGTCGTCTAAGGCGCCGTGATTCGCTGCGCAGACTTGCGTCCCTTGGGCACGCCAGAAACCTATGATTGTGGGTTCGAATCCCGGTTCGCCCCGATTATGTTTCTAGATTTGTCAGCACTTTACCAATGCTCGTGGGTTTCACCGAAGTGGTAAACGTCTGAGACCTGCATCACCTCGGGCTTTCCTCCTACATTAAGCTGACACGCCGTGATATAACTGGAATAATGTCAAAAACGACATTAATCCCAACTCACTCACTCACTCTAACCCAAGACCTTCCGCTCTTTTATAAATGTATTCTTATGTTTAGTGATATACGTTTATGGTTATTTACTAGTTTTAAATAAATTATGTGATAAGTCTTGTTATTTTACTGTCCTTCCTTATTTTACAACTTTTTTATAGTCACAATAAGGCTTAAATGTGTATTCAAATTTTAACTCACTCACTCACTAGACCACGGAGGTGGTCTAGTCTTCGTGTAGCTGTTCCAATGACATCATCACACAGCACAAGGACAGACGTTGTATACGTTTTATTAAAGAACATTACAAAATCCATATGAAAGGAGGTGCTATTTTATCATTGGCACGTTACAATTCGTTGCTGAACAACCATGCAATAAGTATTACTTACTATCAACATGAATTGCGAGCCAGGAAGTAAAAACGCCAACCAACTATCTTGCTGCATGGTGAGATCTTTGCTATAAGTGTAAATAGGCTCGCTGACTTGGTTGACGCATGTAATCGTATCCCAATTGCGTCAATCGATGCTCATGATTTCAATCACCAGATTTTCTGGCCCAGACTCGATTATTTACAGACCGCCGTGATATAGCTGGAATATTGCTGAGGGCGGCGTTTAAACAACAAACAAACAAACTAACAAACAAATCATAAGTGTAAAAGCGGCATACAAAGGAATGTCTAATTGAAAGGCTGCATAATAATTGAGTGAGTGTGTTAAGATTTAACGTTAAAGTCACATCGGCAGTATTTCAGCCATATCGTGACGAGTACATTAATGATACATATATTTATACAATATAAAAAGCTGTCAACGATGGACAGTACAATAACTAGAATAGCACAGAGACATTTTAAAACTAGTTGAGAATATATAAACGACAGAAGTATTATTGAACAACACAATAAAAATAAAAATGGGCTAGAGATCGTCAGTAACTAAAGGGAGATCACCACACTAGGGACCATTGGGACTTACAGTGCCTTTGCTTCCTGCATGGACCCCGGCAGGATTTATATCATCCCTTCAGTCACTGGCCATAGTTTTCCAGTTAAGCCTGAGATTAAAATGACAAAAATGCTACGTTTTAAAAGTCTGGTATGCATAAAAATAGTTTGAATGATTTGGGAAAAATCAATGCAGTCAAGCAGGACATGCTTGACCGTGATTCCTTCATCACAAGGGATACAAAACGGAGGATCCTCACCTTTTAACAACTACTCATGTGTATATCTAGAATGGCCAATACAACATCGTCGCATAATGACCTCTTCAAATCTGGACTGACAGCCCAAGTAGGTATAACCGATATTTGGTTTAATTTCATGTAATTTATTGATACCTACTTGGGTGTCCAACTTCTTTTGCATCAGATCACGAATAAAGATCTGATTACAGGTTTATAATCAGTGTATTGGATAAGAAGTGGTGTCACAGAATTGTTGAGTGCTGCTTTTGCTGCATCATCGGCCATTGTGTTGCCTTTAATGCCAACATGACTCGGCAACCAACAAAAGGCGATGTCGTATTGGCCAGTAGCAAGGTCATTAAATAATTCAATAATTTTGATTAAAAGTGGATGTTGACATGATATGTTATGGATAGCCTGCAGGCAAGGAAGAGAATCGGAAAATATGATAAATTTCTTATATTTTGACTGTTTACTGATATATTGTAAAGCTGTTAAAATGGCATTGGCCTCTGCTGTGAAAATAGAACTATTGTCGGGTAATCTGGAGGAGATAGTCCTGGATCCAATGACAGTGGCGCTAGCAACAGCGCCACTATCCTTGGATCCATCAGTAAATATAGATTTGTAAGTATTATAATTATGTGTTTCTTAATTCATTATATTTTTGTTGATGAATAAGTTGGTTTGTTTCCGATTTCTTTAATTTAGTTAATGTCAGATCCACCTTTGGCTTTATTAACTGCCAAGGTGGAGAAGACAAAAGCTGTGTGGGGGCTATATCTTCAAGATTAATTTTAGCCGCTAAAAAATCAGATTGAAGTCTTATTCCAAGTGGGGGGAGAACCGATGATTTTTTATTATAGAGATTTTCATAAAGGGGGTTAAAAACACAGTCATATGCTGGATTCGATTTATTAGAGCGTAACTTAGAGACATACTGTAAGGATAAATTAATTCGGCGTTGTTTAAGAGATGGCTCATCAACCTCAACGTACAGACTGTGAATAGGAGAAGTTCGGAAAGATCCAAGACATAGTCTTAGACCTTGATGATGGATCGTATCCAAAAGTTTAAGGTTGCTTTTGCAGGCTCCACCATAGATGATGGAGCTATAATCCAGTTTAGAGCGAATTAGTGCTCTGTATAATTGGAGTAGAGTTTTCTGATCCCCTCCCCACTTGGAATTTGAAACAATTTATTTTTTTAAATATTTTATGTGTGGTAAAAAGGCTAAATGGTGATCAAAAGTAAAATACCAAGGAACTTAGCCTCTTTTACAACTTTAATTGGAGTGCTATCTAAAACTAGATCAGGGTCTTTATGAGGTTTGTATTTCCTACAAATATGTATTCAATTTGTTTTCGATTTTGAATACTTAAAACCATTTTCCAACGACCATTTATTTATCTTATTTAGACACATTTGTAATTGTCTTTCGATAGTATGCATGTTTTTACCACGACATGATATGTTAAAATCATCCACGAATCGAGATCCATCAATGGAGTCATTTAAAACCTTAGAGAGGCTATTTATTTAAATACTGAACAATGTGACAGACAAAATACTGCCTTGTGGGACACCCTGATCCTGATTGTAATGATCAGACCGGGTAGAACCCACGCGGACTTGAAATTGTCTGTCAGTTGAATATAAATTGAGGCAAACGGCCTCGCAACCCAAAGTCATGTAAATCCTTTAAGACTTTAAATGTTTAATGAATGCAAAAGTAATGAGGGAAAACTCTTGATTCCCCAACTAAGTGAGTGAGTGAGATGGGTTTAACGCCGCTTTTAACAGTATTCCAGTTTTATCACAACGTGTCGGCTTAATGTGGGAGGAAAGCACCACGTGTATGGTGCTGACAAACCCAGAAACATAATCGGGGTGAACCGGGATTCGAACCAACGATCATAGGTTTATGGCATGCCCAAGGGACGCAACTCTGCACAGCGAATTGCGGCGCCCTAGACGACTGGGCCACCCGTGTCCCCCCTTCCCCCTTCCCCTCTTCACTTAGAAAACACAACTGGAAACACACAAGCTGGGCAAGTTGTATAAACTGCATGAGATACAGGACAATCAATAGTATTTCATAGTCCCAAATCACATCACCTCCATAGTGACGATATTAAATACGTTCGTTTAATGGAAGTTAATGAGTTACATTTTAACGTCGCATCGGCATTATCTCAGCAATATAGAGACGAGAACATTTATAATATCTACAAGCACGTTATATAAATACACAAGTCATAATCAAAAGCAAATTTGTGAAATATTTGAACATACCACTACTATTTACAACTGTTTGAAACGGGCGAAAAGCGACACCAAATCTTTAAAAAAACAATTAATTATTCAGATACAGTCTAGTATTTAAAATTTATGATACAGGCCAATTTCTTTCAAGTCGTTAAGGATTATTTTTAGATTTCCCGTTTGAAAATCCGAATCCCTTGCAATTGCAAAGTCCACTCAGTCAAGGTTCAACGAAGGTCTTGCAACAATCAATATTTTCTGTAAGCTTGTTTAACGTTGTTTGTTTGTGGTGTATTTCTGCACAGCGATTTGCAGCGACGGCTTAAGTTCTAACTGACTTCTTCAAGAATGTCAAGTGTCGATGATATATCATCTTGAAGTAGACACTCTTTTTACAAAGTACCTAAACATCTCTTCGTACCCTCGCTCCGTTGCAATCACGAAAGGCAACATATTGTGCTGGGCCTGACGTTGTGAAGATAAGCCCTCATACTCCACCAGATGTTTGACAATATCTAAATTACCCCCTAGACATGCCAGTAGTTAAGGATGAGATGTCCACTCAGTCAAGGTTCAACGAAAGTCTTGCAACAATCAATATTTTCTGTAAGCTTGTTTAACGTTGTTTGTTTGTGGTGTATTTCTGCACAGCGAATTGCAGCGACGGCTTAAGTTATGAATGTTTTCTTTAAGAATGTCATGTATCGATGATATATTATCTCGAAGTAGACACGCATTGCGGCACATTGTTTAGAAGAACAATTGTGGTACCAGCCATCATGGTGGAAATGTATGTGGCTCCGGTCCAGACCATCCAGATTAGTGTCTTTTTTTACAAAGTACCTAAACATCTCTTCATACCCTCGCTCCGCTGCAATCATGAGCGGCAACATATTGTGCTGACCATAACTTTGTAAGGATAAGCCCTCTTTCTCCACCAGATGTTTGACAATATCTAAATTACCCCCTAGACATGCCAGGTGAAGAATGGTGTTGCCCTTATAGTCTGTCTTTTTCGAATTTATTTTTTGTGTTTGTAGCAGCTTAAAAAAGTCTTCTTTATTTCCAGCTCTTGCGGAAATCATTAAGGGCGACCTGCCACGTGCGTGCTTGCCCTGGGGTACATGCTCTGGTGTAGTTTCACTACGATCTGTGGACATGGGATCGTCAATATCACGAGATGAGTTGCCTTCCTCTTTCTTCAGAACAATGTCATACAGTTGATTAATTGTTGTTGTCAGGATATCTATCGTAGCTTCAACTTCAACCAATGAGGACGATGTACGATGTTCTTGCATGTCTGTCTTCGTACCAACTGTTGTCTGCTTAGCAACACCTTTGCCAAAGGTCACATTCTCCAAGTGGATTTTAGCTCCAGACATATGCTCCCACAAAGCACCAGTGACAGTAGAACCAGTTATTGTCGTCACATTATCTTTGACATCTGTTTTAACGTTCACGTCACGTAATTGATCAGATTTAATGGAAGTAGATGTATGACCCTCCCCAAGCAAACCGGTGCCCATCTGTCCGAGTCCACTCATATTACCAGACACGTCTACTTTGTTTCCACTTGTATTTTCAGTAGTTGTTATATTGCCGTGTACAGTGCCTGCCGCGATAGCTACCCCTGCTGATCCCCCAGCCACTGCAGTCGTGGAGCCTTGGTTACACCCATGTCTACCACGGTCAGAAGGCACTGAGTCATTTTCACCATCAGCTTCTCTCATGTTGTTTTGGCCATAAATGATGAGGATTAACGAATAAAGTAAGGCCCAAAGTTTAGCTTCCACTTTCAATATAGTCGATATCGTGTCACCTGAAACGATGAATATTAGTTTTCTGAAATATGATGAATCTACAAAAGTACTATATTACCGACATTATCATCATATAAATCATCGTTTTCAATTATATGTTCTACAATTCTATAAACAGTTGTGTTTAACATGTTCATGTTCGTCTGTCTGTCGGTCTCGGTGCTTCTTTGTTTGACGAACAGACAGTTACTGGTACCCGTGAAGATCCGGGGTGGAATAGGTCTTCAGCAACCCATGCTTGCCGTAAATGGCGACTATGCTTGTCGTTGTTGTTTAACGCCGCACTCAGCAATATTCCAGCTGCATGGCGGCGGTTTGGAAATAATCGAGTATGGACCAGGCGATCCAGTGATTGACATCATGAGCATTGGTCCCCGCAATTTTGATACGATGACATGTATCAACCAAGTCAACGAGCCCGACCACCCGATCCCGTTTGTCTTATGGCTAACATCGGTTGCTGAAGACCAATTCTAACCCGGATTAACACGGATACAATGGGTATGCGTTCCCCTTCCTCCCATAACGCATGCCCGAGCATAAGACTGCAGTGGATTACCCATAAGAGACTCTCGACGATGACCGTAAGGCGTCGCCTCAGAGTGGCTGGTTATGACGCCAGAAGACCAGTAAAACGTCCTCAACTGACTGAGAGGCACATGCGGAATCGTCTGATATGGTGTCGTGTCCGTAGTCGATGGAACGTGGCCAACTGGAGAAGGATCCATTGGTCTGACGAGTGTCGAATGCTGCTACGAACTGTTGATGGTCGAATACGTGTTTGGAGGAAACGTAACACTCGTTTTTGCACCAAGGAACATCCAGAAGACCTTAGCATGTGGCGGGGGTCTGTCATGATATGGGGTTGTGTTTCCTTTGGCTGCAAACTTCCGCTGGTGACAATTCGTGGAAACCTGAATGGCCAACAATACCAAGATGCCGTTCTTCGTCCAGTGGTAGTCCCTCATTTTGACAACCATCCTCTTCAGACAAGACCTGTTTACATGGACGACAATGCTAGACCACACAGATCTCGGGCAGTTTTGGCTTATTTGCGTCAAGAAGCTATTGCCACTCTTCCTTGGCCGACCTGTAGTCCGGATCTTAATCCGATTGAGCATCTCTGGGACATTCTTGGCCGGAAATTCAGATATCGTGATCCCCCAGTTCAAAATCTCGCTGGACTTGAAGCCGCACTTCATGAAGAATGGATCCGTTTGCCTCAGAGAAGCATTCAACGACTTGTAATGAGTATGAGGCGTAGGGTTGAAGCTGTGGTCAATGTCCGTGGATCATACACACGTTACGGACGTTTCTGTCTTGCAATAGACTCTGCACTCCCTATAGGATGTCTATGTTACACCTGATATGGTCTGCTGATATCATGACAGTTACATGACAAAAAAAAGTTTTTCATTGTTTTCTAATCCTTCAATTTCAGGTCTTCGGTAAAATTCCTTTCTGTTCATATTCTTTTGGAACACAAGATAAACTTGCTTTGGGACAACTTTTGCATCACATGAGGTTCACATATACGGCTTATAACAATCGTACATCTCGTTATAATAGTCATCATTAAGTGCCAAAAGTAACAGCTCACAAATATGGTGGGTGGCGCTTAACTTTTGTACATGGGTGTATATATAGTTATATGTTTTAATGGTTAGAAGCTAGTTTTAGATAATAATCTGTGATATTCTAGTTATTTTATAGTCCTCTGTTGACATAATACTATAGTTTCAATGCATTTCTTTTGTATAACATTTTATAATCACGATATGGCTGAAATACTGCCGATGTGACTTTAAAAATTTAACTCACTCAAATTGCCACGTATCCGTCGCCATCGCCTCCGGAAGGGACACGCTAGATGCATCCCCGAGACAATCGTTCAAAGATGCAAGCCAAGGCTTTTACATGTGGACATTGGCGGTTGAACTCTATGACATCTCCATGATATACTTACCTTCGTCTCCAAACCACAGCACAAATCCAAGTACAATGAAGCCATCTTTGACCGTATCACCATTCAGGATAGCTGCTGTTATAAGCAGCCAGTATCCAGATGCTAGTGCGATGTCACCGACATTTGAGCCCCTTGACAATGTCATAAATCCAAAATGCACTTCACCTGAAAAAGAGGTATGTGAAGGGAGAGCTTATTGAACATATAACTAAGATAAGTGAAAATAATAACAAGAATAGCATCTAAGTGGAATTGTGAAGTAAACTAACTAATATACATGGATTTTCTGTTCCTTAGGGGGAGCACGGGTGGCCCAGTCGTCTAAGGCGCCGGAATTCGCTGAGCACGCCAGAAACCTATGATTGTGGGTTCGAATCCCGGAACACTCCGATTATGTTTCTAGGTTTGTCAGCACCATACCCGTGCTCGTGGGCATCACCAAAGTGGTAAACGTCTGACACCTGCACCACTTCGGGCTTTCCTCCCACATTAAGCTGACACGCCGTGATATAACTGGAATACTGTTAAAAGCGGCGTTAAACCCAACTCACTCACTCTGTTCCTTAGACAGATGTTTACACCCAACTAAACACTAACATCTTATAAATAGAGGTTATTTCGTGAGTGTGTTTTAGGATGGTGAATATCATGTTGTATATAGCGAGTCTCAGCGATTTAACGTGATCACCTCTCTATCATAATTATGGTGGAGACCTTTAATAACAAGGTCAAAGATTAGTCAGACAACAGTCGGACGGCGGCTAAAGTCACAACAGACAGTACTGTTCCAAGTAAAACTTGTTTTTTAGTGGCTATACTACCATATCGGGAAAAGACAGTTGCCTGCACATAATGTTCATAGTATTGGTTAAAGCGCAGAAATAACTTTGTCAGTGGTCGTCTTTCGCGTCAATCCATAGGGGCGCTCGCAAAAGTAAAAATCACTACTGAGCATGAAATTTCGTTAAGAGTATGTCTGTCTAGAGTCACTGACAGGACATAACGAGATGCTAAACGTGTGAACATTCGGGGTAGAATAGGTCCTCAGCAACCCATGCTTGTCATAAAATGCGACGAACGGAATCATTATCTTTCGGCACCACAGAAAAAAAACGTCGTGTCGACCACCCCACACTCCCCCAAACAAACAGCCTTACCCCAAGACATACAGAACATTAAACATGGGTTCCCTAAGTTCTATCCATGTCTTAACCTCTTGCGGATCAATTGCTTGATAAAGGTACAAATATCATTGTGGACCCGTGAAGATCCGGGGTAGATCATTTTAAGGAAATATTGATCTTACCTGCAAGAAATATGCCCTGATTCCGACCTAAATATAGGATCGCCCCGATCTCGAGAAGAATAAAAGCAACACCCATGATGTAATATGCTGCCGTCGAAATCATGATGATAATCTGAAAGAAAAGATGTAGTGTGTTTGAGTATTAAATGTAATTAATTTGTTTGTTTTCTCTTTGAATATGCAATATTATACATATTGCTACGATTCCAGATTCCATGTCTTTATGTTACCATAAATCGTAAGAGAAGGTCACTCTCACTATCGGACCAGAGGCTGATAATGTGTGTGGATTGGGCATCCTAACGCTGATTTTGTATTGCTTTTTACAAGTGTTTTTAGTTGTTATGATTAAATAAGTAGTCTGTGAAGTTGTTATTGCTGAAATATTAACAAATCCGCGTACAAATATAGTGACGTCTATTTTTGTATATGGACTATAGGTTTCTTATCCCGGAGTGCATAAACAAAACAAATGCTTATAATTTAATCGTTCAACGATGCGATATGCATACTGGTAGACGAACTTTCATCATCATGCTCAGCCTGAACCTGGATACTGTTAGCTTGACGACAGCTTCGGTGGTACTCGGATACAGTCGGTGGTACTCGGACACAGTCGGCTGTACCCGGACAGCAGAGGACAGAAGTCGGACACTTCATACGTTGTTCTTTTTTTAAAAAAATGCATTGGACAGCGACGTTAACGGCACGGACGGCACTGGGACTCGTGATAAGTCGACAAACCGTGTACAGGAGACTGCGGGCACATGGTATCCGAGCACGTCGCCCCTACCGCGGAGCGTTCCTGACACCTCAACACCGACTCAACAGACGGATATGGGGCAGGCGACTTCGACGGTGGCAACGGTGGAACTGGGCACGTGTCATGTTTTCTGACGACAGCAGATTTTGCATCTTCAGGAACGACGGCCGGCAGCGTGTGTACCGAAGAGTAGGTGAACGTTTGGCACCGAACTGCATCCATCAAGTCAGGCCATATGGAGGCGGAGGTTTAATGGTTTGGGGTGGAATCTGCGATGACGTCAAAACGAGACTCATCATTATTCGAGGAAACCTGAATGCACAGCGTCGTCAGCGTTATCGTGATGACATCTTACAACCAGTTGTGGTGCCATTCCTCCAACAACAGCCTAATGGTATCATTTTCCAGCACGATAATGCGAGGCCTCACACGGCAAGGCTGACCCAGAACTTCCTAGCAAACGCCAACATTCACGTTTTACCATGGCCGACATGTTCACCGGAAATGAACCCAATCGAACACATCTGGGACATTTTCGGCCGCAAAGTCAGGCATCGCCCTGTGCCTCCAGTTAACCTCCAGGAATTAGAACAATGCCTCCTCTATAAATGGCAACCCATCCCCCCCCCCCCCCCCCCCCCCCCCCCCAACGTCATCAGACGTCTGACGTCATCAGCCCGTAGACGTGTACTAGCGTGTATTGACGCTCACGGTGGACATACCCGGTACTAACGTGACTTTGAGACGTGTGTTGTGACATTTTCCACACTTGACTCATCAACTGTGTTCAAATGAAACCCCCGCGTCTTTACATGTCTGTCCTCATGATTGTAAAGGATTAATTACAATGAATTTTTGTACACATACTGTGAAAACATTACTCAAGTCATATACCAATTTGAAATGTCTGTATCGTTTAGTTTTTTTTGTAATGTCCTTTCAAACACGTGGTATCGTTTCTTTTGGACATTAGTTTAGAATGGAATGGCGACATTGACACATACACCTCATTTTTAACAAGTTGTATCATACATGACTGGTTATTTTTCGCAGAGTCGCAGAGTATCTTTTGCACTTTTATTTTATAATATAATCTCCATTGACCTCAATAGACTTATTCCATTTGTCCTTCAAGCTTTTAATACCACTTTTATAGAAATCCGCGGATTGGCCCTCTAACAACGTATCTATGGCAACCTTTATGTCCTCGTTATCCTGGAAGCGTCTTCCACGTACGGCAGATTTCATTTGTCGGACCAGGAAATAGCCACTGGGGGCTAAATCTGAGCTGTAGGGTGGTTGATTTAACTGTTCGAATCCACATTCACATATGGCGGCCTGTGCAATTCTCGACTTGTGAACCAGAGCGTTGTCATGCAAAAGTAGAATACGTGTTAACATCCCACGGCGTTCTTTCATTTCATGAGCATAATACTGTTCATTGATTGTAGTTTTTGGTGGCATGTAATCAATCAGTAATATGTGTCTTGCATCCCAAAATATGGTGGCCAATACCTTGCCAGCCGATGGTTGCGTGCGAAACTTCCTCAGAGGCGGAGAATTGGGGTGCTTCCATTGCATGGATACCAATTTAGTTTCTGGGTCCCAGTGTATCACCTGTCACGAGACGAGAAAGAAATCCGGCTTCATCAGCAGTATAGAGATCCAGGAGGTCTCGACAACTTTCAGTTCTGAGGTTTCTAGGTACCCATCTTGCAGATACCTTGGACATACCAAGATGCTCATGAATAATGGTTACAACAGATCCAACTGATATTGAGAATTTCCTAGAAAGTACAGATACTTTTACTCGTCGGTCAGGCAAAATTCTTCTTTCTATAGCAGCAATGGATTCCGATTGGGTGGCATCTGAAGGCCTGTCTGACCTTGGGTCATCGTCTATGGACTCCCTACCCCTTTAAACTGTAGAGACCAACGGCAAACTGTGGAATAGTCAGGAGCATCCTTACCCATCACTTTACGCATGCGATCATGGATTTCCTTTGCTTTGTGTCCCTCCTTGCATTGGTAAGGAACTTTATTGCAGCGCGTTGTTCATGTTTGAGAGAATCCATGATTGTGACCACCCTTAGGTGAATGAAGCCATCACATCACTTATTGTTGTGTCTGGAACTTGTTATGACAACCTGATGTTTTGACTAGTGTCACACCTGCCACAAGTTGACATTGTTTGTGTAAACACAAATGCCAAAGTTGCAAAACTTATTGGACGACCCTCGTATATGTATTACCAATACTATAATGAGTCCATTTTGGCACGACCATACCCAATCTTTGTATAACCCATTGGGCGAGTTGATCCTCTTCATCTTTTTGATATTCCATTGGCACTTTCAGTTTTATTTTATCACAGAGTCTAGCTTAAGGAATAACATAAGATACAGCAGCTTTTCCTACAGGCATTCTGCGAACGGTGGCTGCTTCAGTTGCCTTTTATAGAGTTCAAGGTTAAGCAAATGTTTACGTTCATGTTGGCTCACTTCCTAAATGTTGTAAAATGTATTTAGTAGATCGAAATAAATAATAAAGACTATAGATATTAAAAAATCTGTAAAATTAAAATGCAATAATCGATAATGACACACAGACTATTAAGAACGTTTTTGAAGAAAATCTACTTTATTTTATGAAGAGGTTTAACGTAGACATCTAAATATTATTACTTTATGATATTACGCAAATAAAGATTTATTTTCCATCTTATTTTATAAATCATGCATGAAGTTATATTAATCATTATATCACTATGCACACTAAAAATAAAAAATATTATATGTTAAAATGTAAAGATCTTTCATTGATTAATTTTGAATAAACATGTCCGAGTACTCCCTTTCCAATTTTTTCATCGAGGTGGTACCCGGACATAGCTTAAACAGTACTACTTATTGAATTTTCAAGTCATCTTCTTTCATGGAATGTCGTTACATTTACTTAAAGTCCTACCATACACCAAAGTTAATTTAAAATAAATCACACATTTAAGACTGAAAACAGCGTTGCTTAGCGATAATGTATGAAAACGTAGAGGCGTTCCAATCATGTATGAGTGAGTGAGTGAGTTGGGTTTAACGCCGCTTTTAACATTATTCCAGCTATATCACGGCGTGTCAGCTTAATGTGGGAGGAAAGCCCGAAGTGATGCAGGTGTCAGACGTTTATCACTTCGGTGAAACCCACGAGCACGTGTATGGTGCTGACAAACCTAGAAACATAATCGGGGCGAACCGGGATTCGAACCTACAATCATAGGTTTCTGGCGTGCCCAAGGGACGCAACTCTGCACAGCGAATCGCGGCGCCTTAGACGACTGGGCCACCCGTGCCCCCAATTATGTTTGAAAGGTGATCGTGGACGGTTTGTTTAGAGAGTTATCTCTAGCAGACACATTTTTAACGGCCCATGGGGAAAACGGATTATGCTTGCCTGTTAATTTGGGGCTTAAGCAGTTTATCTCATTAGCTATAAATAAATGTTCGGTGAGTGTCCGGCTTCTGCTGCCCCCGCTCTACGTCATAAATTATTTTATAGACCAGCACCAAGTGTTTTAGATTTTATAAAAAAAAATGTCATATACTAACTTACACAATAACTGAAAGATATTTCTTTGTTAAATTTTATGTTTTATTCCCCCTCCCCCTGCTCTCTTGCTAGTTGAGGTTGGAGATGAGAAACACATGCATAAAATATGAATAACCTTAGACAATGATATTTTGCATGCCATAATCTGGGGACCCGCAGAGTTTCACGAGCACGAGGTGTGACTCTACCAAAACACCTTGCTACTGGGCAATGAAAACATGTGACGGAAACGACAAAAATACTACTTTCATCACTTGAAAATATTTTGACGATTACCAGGGTTTTCACGATCAAGGTTCCCGATGTAGGCAAGACGAACCCGACGAGAAAAACACTGTTGAAAATCATGTTGAAAAATTGCCGTAGTTATTTTAAGAAATCCTATTCATATACTGCAATTATAACGACCGTACACGTCTAAGGCGCCGCGAATCGCTGTGCAGAGTTGCGTCCCCTGGACACGCCAGAAACCTATGATTGTGGGTTCGAATCACGGTTCACCCCGATTATGTTTCTAGGTTTGTCAGCACCATACCCGTGCTCGTGGGTTTCACCGAAGTGGTAAACGTCTGAGACCAGCATCACTTCGGGCTTTCCTCCCACATTAAGCTGACACGCCGCGATATAACTGGAATACTGTTAAAAGCGGCGTTAAACCCAACTCACTCACTCACTTATTCATGATGACAAACGTATTTCATTCTCGTCCAGAGAATACAAGCGCAGGACTATAATGTGTGTGTTGGACTGGAATAAAAACATATATCGTGGACATTCCACAGTGACATTTTATGAAGACTTGAAGATGACATAGCAGGTGGGTTTTTGAAACCAGAGACCTACGCGTTTGTTGAAACAGTCTTGGAATCGTTTGATGAATATTTATTATCATTAAATCTTACGTCCTTGTTTTCAAACGGCCAACGTGGGTGGGTGTTCATATGTCTTCAGCCGTTTACGCATTAACCGATGGAATTTTTGTGTTATCATGACGTCATATTGACCTGTCAGATCACTGGTATAAGCTCCGCCCACTGGTAGTGCGGTAGATATGAGCCCAGCTGATGATTAGTTTTGAGTGAGTGAGTGAGTGAGTTGGGTTTAACGCCTCTTTTAACAGTATTCCAGTCATATCGGGTTGAGTCAGCTTAATGTGGGAGGAAAGCCCGAAGTGGTGCAGGTATCAGACGTTTGCCACTTCGGTGAAACCCACGAGCACGGGTATGGTGCTGACAAACCTAGAAACATAATCGAGGCGAACCGGGATTCGAACCCACAATCATAGGTTTCTGGCGTGACCAAGGGACGCAACTCTGCATAGCGAATCGCGGCGCCTTAGACGACTGGGCCACCTGTGCCCCCGATTAGTTTTGAAAATACCTCCATGCAGATTCTATAAGTTGTAGCAGGATCACGAGGGATAGATGAATGTTTTGTCATCCGCCTCCGGCACGTGGTATAAAACCTAACGACGGACGCATAAGGTGTGGTGAAATTGAGTAACGTCGCGTCCAAGATTATTGCACTTACATAGCGACGTGTGTGTGTGTGTGTGTGTGTGTGTGTGTGTGTGTGTGTGTGTGTCAGTGTGTGTGTGTGTGTGTGTGTCAGTGTGTGTGTGTGTGTGTCAGTGTGTGTGTGTGTGTGTGTGTGTGTGTGTGTGTGTGTGTGTCAGTGTGTGTGTGTGTGTGTGTGTGTGTGTGTGTGTCAGTGTGTGTGTGTGTGTGTGTGTGTCAGTGTGTGTGTCAGTGTGTGTGTCAGTGTGTGTGTGTGTGTGTGTGTGTGTGTGTGTGTGTGTGTGTGTGTGTGTGTGTGTGTCAGTGTGTGTGTGTGTGTGTGTGTGTCAGTGTGTGTGTGTGTGTGTGTGTGTGTGTGTGTGTGTGGCTGCTTGTACTAGTCCGGACTGATGCCGATTTATAGTGCTAGCACACTGAGATACCATGACGCAGTTTAACATGAATACCCCACTCAGACACAGTATACTGACTCCGAGCCGACCAGTCCTTGTTTTAGTCCCTTAATGCCGAGCGCCAGACAGGGTAACAACACGTACCATCTTTTAACGTCTTTTGGTATGACGCGGCCGGGGATCGAACCCCGGACCTTCCGCTCTCCGGGCGGACGCTCTACCACTAGACCACGGAGGCGGCCAGGGACGCATAAAACCCATGTACCCCGAGTGATCCTGCTACAACGAATTTATCTTACCAACATGTCTTAATATGACATAATATTTTGCTTTGAAGCCGGTATAAGGGATTTATTCCCCCGCTGAGAAATGTATTCCTCTTGAAGGCGGGATACACAGTATTTTATCAAGATTATGTGGGCCAATCAGATCTCATCATTCTGACATGGAGGTATGAGAAATGTATGTTAACAGAAATAACGTGCCTACTCACCACGCAGTTTAGACCAACTATTGCCGCCTTTAGTCAAACATTTATACCACTGGTAATTAACATTGTGACAAGTGCTTTAACGTTCTTAATAGTCTGAAAGCAATTTCGTATAATAGTTCACATAAATACAACTTGTGTCGTAAAAGGTACGAGTGACGAGTGTTAACTAATGTGAACACTATAAAACTTACAATACAGTAAAGTACGGTTATAACGAACTCAAAGGGAACACTGATTTTAGTTCGTAATAACCGTAGTTCGTCATAAGCATATTTACAGCATATATACAACAGAAATAACGTGCCTACTCACCACGCAGATTAGGCCAACTATTGCCGCCTTTAGTCAAACATTTAAACCACTGGTAACATTGTGCCAAGTGCTTGGTGTCATAACGCCCTGTCCATATTGTGAGATTTGTTTTGACGACAACTCCACGTAACAACGCACGTTACCAGTTGTAACCGATATATTTGTTTGCGTGCACGACGGTTTCACAGGAGCTTGTAATTCCGAGAAGCGGCGTGACCTCGGTTTTTACGTCATGTCTAGAAATACACCAAATTCAATTCAGTTCTTTATTCCGCATAATAACAATACTGGTCACACGGCGAGAGAAAGGGTTCAACCAGAGACAGCTATACTTCTTTTGTGCATTCCATAATAAATAGACATTGCAATATTTTGTATTAAAATCTCATTTACATAATGTGAAATTCATCTTTAATATAGGACAAATTACATGTTCTACAAGTTTTTAGGCGAGGTGATTTTAGGCGGGATTAACGTGTTATTGCACTAATATAGTGCGCGCGTGCGTGCCTGTGTGTGCGCGCGCGCATGTGTGTGTGTGTCTGCTTTTTCTAGTCTGGACTCCCTGAGAGTGGCATCTATATTGAAGTGTTGAATATCAACTAGTGTTTTAATTTATTGATTGTGGTTTGCAAACACCCACTGGTGACCAAAGTGGTGGCATAAATCCTGCTGGGGCTCATGCAGGAAGCAAAAGCACTGTAAGTCCCCATGATCCCCAGTCTAGCTGTGGTTATCAGTGGTCTTTTGCCTGGTTTTAATTTATGTTAACTAATCTACTGAAAAAATCTTTCTTTGTTTTGATATTGCTCAGGATTTTTAAATATCTAAACTGTGATATTTACCTTATTGTTTTACTTTCCTTCGTCGGCAGGTCTTTGATAATACGGTAAACTACGTTTATAACGAACCGACGGATATAACGAACTCTTTTTGGTTCCGTCTATTTGCTTATATATGCTATATATATGCTTATAACGAGCTACGGTTATAACGAACTAAATTTGGTGGACCCTTTGGGTTCGGTATAACCGTAGTTTGCTGTAATAACTAACTCATCGCGATATGGCTGCAATATTACCTATGCAGTATTTTAACTCACTCATTCACTCTAGTCTGGACTAATGCGCGTTGTAAAGTGCTAGCCTACGGAGATACAATGTCGCAGTTGAATATGGATACCTCACCTAGACACAGCATACTGAGTATAGCCGACCAACCCCTAATGCCGAGCGCCAGGCAGAGAAACAACAAGTACCTTCGGTTAACGTGCCTCGCCCAATATTTGTTTCTGCTCACCTAATATGACACCGTTTGCGACAACTTAAGACACCATAACTAATAGTATTATGCCTCAAAGTGAGATTGACCAATCATAGGGCAGAACTACCAACCCCATATACCGCCAGAATAGGTCTTCAGCAACCCATGCGTGCCGTAAAAGGCGACTATGCTTGTCGTAAGTGGCGACTAACGGGATCGGGTTGTCAGGCTCGCTGACTTGGTTAATGCATGTCATCGTATCCCAATTGCGTGGATCGATGCTCATGATGTCAATCACTGGATTGTCTGGTCCTGAGTCGATTATTTACAGACCGCGGTCATATAGTTGGAACATAGCTGAGTGCGGCATTAAACAAGAAACAAACCGGTCCAGACTGGCTAAATGTGTCCGGCTGTCTCAAGAGAGGATATGAATTTGGTGGATAATTGGGAATCTAACCGCGTCAAATAACAAAGTCTCTAGAAATCTGTGTATGGGGCCCCCTGAGATGGCACCTTTATGTTTCTTCTTGTCGACTATGACTGGCGATACGGCGCCTATCTCCATTCTATCTTGGTAGGTCGAATTCAGATCCGCAAAGGTAAGTTTTCTCACCGATCGAACTTCCCTGAAAGCATTAACTTCACATTAACACAACTTGAGTCCTAAAATGTACGAGTGTCGCAGAAATATTGTTATATACTGTCATTATATGTAGTTTTAACTATTTTTAACTCTATAAAACTTACAATACAGCACAGCCGAAAAAGTGTAGGTTTCCGTCTTCCGGAAACCTTCCGGATACCATCCCATTTTGGATCCGGTCGGGATACCTTCCGGAAACCTTCCCATTTTGGATCCGGCCCGGATACCTTCCGGAAACCTTCCCCAAAAAATGTCAAAATTTGCGGGGTGCATTTTGTTCAATTATGTGTGAAACACATAAAAAACTATCTAGAAATTACCATGACAATTGAAGGTTGCTGAAGGTATCTGGAAGGTTTCCGGAAGGTATCCAGGCCGGATCAAAAATGGGAAGGTATCCGGATGGTTTCCGGAAGACGGAAACCTACACTTTTTTTGCTGTGCAGTAAACTACGGTTATAACGAACTCAAAGGGACCACTAATTTTAGTTCGTAATAACCGTAGTTCGTCTTAAGCATATAAACAGCACATATACAACAAATGGCCGGGACTAGAAAATAACAAAGTAGACACAATTTATGGATAACAACATCTTCTTTAATACTGTAAAGGCAATATAGATCGGTATAGATCCTTATACCGTTGTCAAGCAAGACTGCGTGACTTTAAAGTATAAAAGAAGTTGTTATCCATAAATCGTGTTTACTTTGTCATCCGTCAACTTCTAAGTAATGCCTATCAAACAACTAAAAATATGTTCGTTATATCTGTAGGTTCGTTATAAGCGTGTTCGTTATAAACGTAGTTTACTGTATTTTATTTACTCACAAACTGATAAATTAGAAATATGTTTATAATAAATTATTATCTTCTTGCGATAAATAGAAATAGTGTTCAGCCCTCACTGACGACAGTTCCGGCACTTGCTCGAGTTATCGCCCTTTGACCACACCCACCAAGAGAACCGGCACAAAGGCAGTGTTCCCCTCCCGTTATTGTTGTAAACTTTCTCAAAACAAATGGCATGCATTTCAGGCTATACACTGAACCAAAGCTGCACAACCAACAACATATCGGGACTTTTAGGAACAAGTAGACCAACTATGACAAGTTTTAAACAATTGTTTAAAACAAATATTTGTTCCATGTCCCTGTTCATATTTTCTTTTCTACTGTCCTTAATTATAACTCCTTTAGACCTTTCAGAAAACTGTTATATGGCCGCCTTGGAATAAAAAATCAGATTCTATGTTTACAAAAAATTCACAACTTCACGTTATCAACATTAAACATGATGATTGCAGTCAAAGACTCTGCACGCAAAAAGTGCAATAAAGTATAAAATATAGTTTTAAATAGCTTAAGTCGCGTTGTGGTAGTCTTCATAGTTATTACATATTGACAGTAGAACGTTACCATGGACTGAGCTATGTCCCTTGCTGTAAGGATCCGATTATCTGGATCAAAAAATTAATTAATGCTGTTAAACCTAAACTTTCCCTCCCTGAAGGGGGGCACGGATGGCCCAGTCGTCTTAGGCCCCGCGATTCGCTTTGCAGATTTGCGTCCTTTGGGCATGCCAGAAACCTATGGTTGTGGGTTCGAATCCCGGTTCACACAGTTTCTGTTTCTAGATTTGTCAGCACCATACCCGTGCTCTAGGGTTTCACCGAAGTGGTAAACGTCTGAGACCTGCATCACTTCAGGCTTTCCTCCCACATTATAATTAAGCTGACACGCCGTGATATAACTGGAATACTGTTAAAAGCGGCGTTAAACCCAACTCACACACACACACACACACACACACACACACACACACACACACACACACACACACACTCACAACCTCCTCGAAGGGCAATGATCTGAGGAAAAGTCCGTATTTTTGTTCGTACAAGCTATCGATTAAATGTCATGTTAAATATAGCCCATTGTGCCCACAGAATAATTGTATTTCGCGAGAGAGGAAGGTTTGTATTTCCCAATACATTTCCTGTTGGGCGGATTTATACACGTGAAGGTGTGTACCGTTAGATCTAATAAAATATGGCCTCCAACATAAAAAAACGTGTTTAATGTTCTTTTCCTCACGTGCACCACTGGAATGAGTTTCCGGCTATCTATTTTCCATGTGTCATTGGGATATGCCGTCTCATCTTACGTTACACGTGAATGTCAGATTCTGATTGGCTAAGACCCATTCTGTTATTTTCAATGTACCCCGCTTACAAATTCATCGCTCAACCCAGGGTCTGCAACAGTTCGAAGCGCTTGCGCACTCTTCCAAAATGGCGGCACAACTACCGCTTGGTTGCCTTGACGTTTGTTTGTTTGTTGTTTAACGCCGCACTCAGCAATCTTCCAGCTATATGACGGCGGTTTGTAAATAATCGAGTATGGACCAGACAATCCAGTGATTGACATCATGAGCATCTATCCACGTAATTGGGATACGATGACATGCATCAACCATGTCAGCGAGCCTGACCATCCGTGTAATGAAGAACGTAAGAAAAGAGGCTCGATGACAAGCTGATGAAATTTATGACTACTTTGAAGATGTGGAGCAGACTGAGGATGATTGGGTGTTAGCTACCTTTGCCCATTTTCTCGTTGATCCAGTCAAGAATTCCTTGTTCCGCTGTCAAAGTAAGCCGCCATTTTGGTTTGAGAACGAAGCGACCTCAGTCAGCGATTGTTTCGCTTGCAAGCGGCTGAAAGTTAGCGCACTGTTGTAAGGCGAATCGCTGTACATCGCTTACAAGCGATTGGCGCTTTGCAACGCACCCAAGGTACAATTTTTATTACCCATGGGGTTAGAAATAAACGAGTTCATAAAAATCGTATGTGCACTTGTCAAATATTACTTCACGCACACCAGTGTGTTGTTTCAGTCATCCAAACGGCATTGTTGACGTTATTCGAATCCCATTGTAAAGTAAGGTCGGAATTACGTCACACTGGAAATGACGTCATAGTTGAAGATTGTTGACGTCATTCGACAAACTATGGTTCCACTGCCGTTGCGACTTGCTGTCCTTATACTAATAGGTAAACACTAAAATTCGTCTTTGTATGTAGACATCTTCTCCGGTAATAAAGAGAACCTATAGAATATACATTCGTGTTCATGTCATACTATGTTTACGACTCGAGTGTCCGGAAATTAGACACGAGTGTCGTAAACATACTATGCTTACGACACTCGTGTAGGGGAACCTATGTCCTC